TGGTCGGCGATTGAAACTTCGACAGCTTGAGTCCCGACTCGCACGGATTCTCCACAGCATTGGCGTCCTGCTGATTAAAGCGCTCCACCACGTCGTCAGTGTAGCGCATTTGCTTGATGGTCAGTGAATTCGCTGACCTCTGGCGGTCGATATCCATTCCCCAAGATGAGCTTAGCTTCGCCGCGCTCCTTCGTCTCAGACGCCTTCTTGAGTCCCGTCTTGACGTCCTGAATTTCCTTTCTCGTCTTTGCCGCGATGATCATGTCGTCGACATAAAGACATAGGTATATCAAGTTGCCCTTGCTCTCCTTGACGTACACGCACTGGTCTGCTTCTCAGCTCATGAAGCCAAGCTTCATGAAGACGCGATGGATCGTCTTGTTCCATGCGCTCGCCGCTTGCTTCAATCAGTAGATCGCCTTGTCGAGTCTGCACATGTAGCCCCCGGCGTCTCTCATGCCATACAGCACCTCCATGTACACGCGTTCCTTAAGGTCGCTGTTGAGGAATGCCGTGTCCGCATCCAACTGCTCCGTCACGTACTTTTCCTTCACCGTAACCGCCAACAGCACACGAATCGAGTTCATGTTGGTCACCGGTGCGTAGGTTTCGAAGAAATCTACGCCGACCTTTTGCTTGAAACCCTTCGCCACGAGCCGAGCCTTGTACCGAGCCGATTGCCCAAGCTCGTTCCGCTTCTTGGCGAACCCCATCTGCAACCAATAGGTCGAAGATTCCCCGACCTCGGTACCAGAATCCATGATCGATTCTGTTCATGCACTCGCAGCTCTGCCTTTATCGCCTTCACCCACTCCGCCGCATCGTCACCATCCATGGCTTGCTGATACGTCGTTGGTGCATTGTCAGCCTCGCCGACACTAGCAGCGTATGCAAACACTGTCTCAGCGAGCTGTCCGTCTTCATTTATGCGCGTCGCTTGGGCGATGGTGGCCAGAAGTGGTCGTCGTTGTCAGGATCACTGTTGGTCGAAGGGTACTCGTCGTTGCTCGTCGATTCCGCAATCACCGATTCGTGATTCGGGGAGCCATCGTTAAGCAGTAGCATCGGTGTCTCTGCTTGGCAAGCACGATCCGTCCACGGGTGGAACACCATGTTGTCACCGGTCGTCAACCTTGAAGATCTTCTGTACGTCATCAGCTCTCTACTCGTCGATGACGGCTCCGCTTCAACTTCCTGCATTTTTACGTCATCGCCGCCGAGTCCCTCCTCAGCAGGCGGCAATGGTTCGTCGACGGTAGGTTCCACCCATGGCTGCACGTCTTCATGCTGCACTAAATCATCCACCTCCTTAGTCACAGGGACGATTGTCGAATGGTTCGGTACAGCCGTATCGTAGATACCGCTGACCTCCCGTTTATCCAGTCTCAGCGAACGTGACAACTTGAGCCTGTTTGACTCCAAGTCGTACACCCGGTACCCCTTGACTTTCTCAGTTTATACCAAGAACATATACTTGAAGCTTTTTGCATCCAGCTTCGTACGTTTGCCGTCTTCCACACGAGCGTACCCGGTAGAGCCGAACACGCGCAAATGTTCCATGCGCGGCTTCATCTTGAAACACAGCTCATACGGTGTCGTGTTCGTGTGAACACTGTTCGTGGTCCTGTTGATCAGGTATACCACTTTATTCACCTCCTCGGCCCACCACAGCGAGCTCACACCTTTATAGTGCAGCATGCTCCGAGCCTTCCCCATGACCGTCCGGTTCATTCGCTAATCTACGCCGTTCTGTTGCGGGCTTTTCGGCACAGTCTTCTGATGCACAACCCCGCTGCACTCACCGATTATTTTTTCCATCTAGAGCTATGCCCGTCGCAAGTTCAGGGTACACCTGCTTAGCTCTAAGCTATTTGCGATCTTTGGAGATCATACGCGCAACATCGCTACCGAATTCATACAGTGAATGACGAATGGGCTATCTTTCTTCACCGAGTATACTTTCGCGGCAATATGCTAGCCGAGTTGACTTGATGTGGTGACAGATACGCTTTTGCATCGTTTTGACGTGGCAAAAAGTTAGGTGAACTACTTAAAGCATTAAAATGGATTCCTGCACTCAGATCCGCTTATAACAAAGCATTAATTGCGCATTCATATCTCTGTGTCTCGCCCTAAGACTTACTGTAGAATAGCACTGACTCGCAACTTGTAGTGCTTGTGCGGGATAAGGCATGGGAAAGACATCACGCATAAAAAAATATATTAGTCATAGGACACCTACAGGGTAGGCTACGGCTAGGTAAGTGCTCATCACTTGCGGCTCATCTTCTTTAATTCGAAAGGGTTTTTAACACTCGCAGATGAATCTGTAAAAGAGTGAAATATGATCGCCACCTTCGCATATCTAACGGTTTCATAAGATTGTTAGCAATCCATATGCATCGACCTTATTTTCGCTAAATCGAGAGCGTATCGTGTAATTCCAGCATTGCGGTCTTGGTAAGCTATCGGAGCCATTTGGAGTATCTCTACCGTCAGAGACAGCCACGCTTTATCTCGATTAATTGTATTCCAACCTAACTTTTGTCTCAAATTGAGACTTTGGCAGGATTTGTTCAAGAAAAATGGCAACAGATTTTGCGCGTCCTTTACGACCAATTTTTTAAATTGATGATCAAATGGAACGCCTCAAAAGCACTTGCAACTAAAGGCGTTACTACGCTAGAGGACGTCCAAGGGTGGGTGGCTGTGACTTCCTCCGACCTATTGCACATGTACATGGCTTCAAGATCACTATTAACCGTAAACGTCTCAATATGCTCCATATTTTTTCTTAAATGATTTGGTCATTTTCGTGACGCATCAGAGAAGCGGTGCTTGTTTGATGGCGGAGAATTTATTGATACGGATCACATTTGGAGATCAGCCCTGCTATACTTTAAAATGGGGATTCCCGCAAAGAATGAGCGTTCTACACCTGACATTATTGCTCAAAGCCAGGATATGCAAGGCCATTCTGCAACTGCCAAAGATGGTTGAGCGCGAAGCAGTAAAACAATTTCATTAGGCGCTATAGATACAGTATCTGCAATCTCAAAGATTATATTCGAACAGGCCATATCGTTTCTTACGCTCGTATTCATATAGGTATTGACCCACAATAGCCATAAAAAGTGAGCATGTCCTGTTTGCTTCGTGACTTTCCAAAGTTGTTCTCGCAAGTGACTTGGATTCAAACTTTTGAGTGAAATCTTTGCATTTGAAATTGTTCGCGACCAGAATTATCTGTGACTAGATCTATGAACATAACAGTCGGTGGCAAGATACCCTGAGACTAGTTAGACTCTGACCAGATAGTAAGAAACCTGGGCAGGCTAGACCAAGCGAGCCTAGCGATCTAATTTCTTATATGAAAGTCCATAGTTTCTAGCCTCAAGCCATGATTTATATGATATTTTAGTGATAGGTAATGCAACACATATATTCAGTACCTTTATCGAGCTAAACTTAGCACTAAAATTTGAGCAAGAGAAGTCCTTCATAGATACGTTAGTCAGAACTTCTGAAGTACGAAATACATTGCACTGGTCAAAGTAAAAAGTCATACATTTTTATATGTTTCTATCAAGAATCATAAACGTTTCATAATATTCAGAATTATATAACACTGCAAATGTTTTGCGGGTCAACGAGTCCTACGGACAAATCGTTTGTGATAAACGATACTCTGATATCAACTTACCACTATATACGATGATTTACTGACGTATTAAAGTATGAAACGTCGCCAATATACTTGATTCAGTATCTTTTATCCAATGAACTTGATTCAGTATCTTTGGTTTCGATCATGTGTCGGAGGGAATACATTAAACGTTTTTTTTTACTCCTGTACAACCTTTCCTCCACGGAGAAATTTTGTAAAAACATCAAACAATCCAAATTCGTGACGAGGATTGTTGAATTGTTTACATTTCACTTTAATCACAGTGATTAACTTCAGGCACACCATCACAGACAATCGAATGTGCCATCATATGCTAGATCAAAAAATAGTTTGGTCTATACGGTGATAGGTAGTAGGCAAATTTTTATTTTATGGATAGAGCGATGCAAAAGGTCAAGGGGTCTCGTGCTGCGGCGAATTAACGTGGTTAATTTATTACTTTGTGAAATATAGCAATGTGTATCACGTAAAGTATCAAAGCGATGAGTTCCTAAAAAAATAGCTCTGAAGAACAAGCGCGCTACCAGCTATAAAATTTGTGACTTCCGATTATAGATGATAAAATGTAAGAAATTATTCCACCTACGGACACTCTTCTAATCTGTGCAGCTTAAAATACTTTGCTGCCGGGGAAGGTTTTATGTCTGCATCCTCAAGTTAGCCATTGTCCCAGTGCCCTGTGCAGTCGTTTTTGTGGACTTTACCAAATGTTATCTGCTCAAAGTAGCATCATTTTGTGGCAACAGCCGTTTATCGTGCCACGGATTGATAAGAGATCGAAGACCTTGGGCACTACACGCGCGTCTCCTGGTGGAACTTCGGTGAGTCATGAACCCACCTCTGCTAGGAAGCAAAAGCGCTATTGACGCGGGCACTGGACCAGAACGGTCAATGTGCTGGATATCGGAGTATCCGAGTTGTCGAACACCGAAGGTCTATTGGACAAGAGTCTCGAGCATGGCTCGCGGGCTAAACGTGGAGTGTCACGTAGCCCACTGAGCACTGTCCAAGTATCAAAGCATCTGCTGCATGCCAAGAGTGGCATGGTCGGCCAAGGGCCGAGGGATCGTGGGCAAGGCCCCTGGAAAGGCTCGTTCGACTGGACGAAGACTGCAAAATGGCAGCTCTTTGTCGGATGTTGTTAATAAAATCAAGGCTCCGATGGAGCAGGGAGTGGGGAAATTTGACGACACCGAATGCTTATTCCCAGTAGTCTCGATGAGACGTTAGAAACCTCTAAGAGAGGATAGTAAATAACCCGCAAGACGTAGGGCGTCGACCCTGACCCAGGATGTGTCTACCGGAGACGATAGCACGCGGCTATATACCCTTGTCAATGGTAGGACGGGAGGGGAAGCCGGCGACGTCATCCTCGAAGATTTTCTCGTGAGATGTCTTTTGAAGAGTTTTGCGGTGCCTTGAAGGCAGGCATTTAAGCCGAGGCGGTCATTATAAGTCGATCGAAGAGATAAATTGTCGTCGCTTCCAGATGAAACTGTCCTGGATGTCACCAAGAGGGTGCTAGACGCACGAAGTGGAACTTTGATTCTAAGGACCCCCTCGGATCCGTACTATCTTTTGGTCAAGGAATTTTAAGACGTCTACAAAGACCCGCCGTCGGTCCTACCTCCATACCGGATAGTTCGTCACGCGATTGACCTGGTTCTGGGAACCAAATACTGCGTAAACGCCAATGGTCCCTGCCCAAAGAGCAGTGTGGCGTCATTGACTCCTTTTTACGTCGAAGAGCAAACTCAGGAATGGTGCATGAAAGCAATTCCTTCTATTCGACATCCACGTTTTTGACACCCACGTTTAAAATACCGAACGGCAAGTGGCGTATCGCTCACGCTTACAAATTAGCTGAACGCTGTCATTATCACGGCACAAATGCCGATTTCTAAAAAGAATGTTCTCTCGAACAATATGGTTGGCTGTACAAAGTACAGTGCACTCGACTTAGTCAATGAATAATATCAATTGCTCATTAGAGAGAGTGATATCCCGCTGAAAGCGGTGAGCACTCTGAGCGGGATGCTCTGGAAGTGGCTGTTGGTGCCCAAAGGGCTGTCAAATTCACCAGCAACGTTAAATCGTCTTGCGGCGCAGTTGTTCAGGTCCCACCGGGCTTAAGCGCAGACACATTTCAGCGACATCTTCATCCACA